TTCTTTATGTATTCAGCACTAGAAGTAGACTGAAACTGGCTGAGTATTAAAACAAATACCGTGGATAAAGTGATCGCCTGCATCTTGGTGACCAAAAACAAAGAGCGATTGTAGGACAGTAACGCGGGTTACCTGTGGTTTAAATATAGCTTCGTACATTTGCACCTCAAGTCGAGGTCCCAAGTTTGTCCTTCATGGAGTTTGGATTTACTTTYCTTTGCATTTGGAAAATGGGATTTGACGCACTGATAATGGAATTTAGGTCTTTGGGATTGGAGAAAAAAGTGTTAAATGACCGATGGGAGATTTTTCTCCGACATTGAATTGTCACTAAAAAGTGCAATTTTTTATCAGAACTTCTAAAAACTTGAAAACTTGAACCTTGAAAAAGCGCATCAATTGACAACAAACAACAAGCCGTAAAGTAAATCGAAAACCGCGATCCATTTATATTGATTAGCGTACTTCCTGATCGAGTTTTGGGTGCAAGCGGGAGCTTAAGATGCTAATGATAAAATTATAATAATATCCGTAGCGTTTGGCACGCAATGATTGCTCGAGAAGTGACTTGACTGGATGGATGATGGATGATGATGGTTGCTTTTCCATGACGCTTTTCGTGCGAAAAAATAAAAAATAAACTTATTTCAACTTAATTTCAGGGTTGCGAGTCTCTATAAATTTGCAATAATTTATCGAAAGCTGAAAGCGGAAAAAACGGTTAGTGCGAGGACYCGTAGTTTTGTAATATTTAAAAAGACTTCTGGCCAGTTCCTATTGGTCATTAAAAGGCGCAGAGTCACGTGAATGAGTTTTATCCAATCACCGTCAAGGTTGATCTGGTAGCCCTACAGTTACAATAAAGTTACCAAGATGGCGCTTTCAAGGAGTTGTGTATTCGAACTTTTATTCGAAAAAAAATCAACTCCTCGTACAGATATCCTTTTTCTTCTCCGTTATCATCCCAAGTATGTTCCAAGGTAAAACAATGAAATATTTATCTAAAGATGTAGCTTATTGTCAAAGATCATGGGTCATTAACTTTCACCACCTGTTGCTTACTGGCTAGTGCAGGGTCATGCAGGCTTCTGAGCAGCTTGGCTTGCATTTTTACCAAACATTTATATGCCTTTTTCTTAATGTTATTTAAATATTAATCTATGATCTCATTATTCGCCATTAAAACGCATCCTATACACTTTATCGCGAACGATGTCACATACTCACAATGAATTTTGATGTCTTATTAATGTCGTTTCGATTAGATTGCAAACAACTGTGCTCAATAAAGTTTTGCTTCAGACCGACGCTATAGAGATATCTTTAAGGATGGGAACGGCTTCAAAGTTGATTTGTTCATTTTTAGAATGTTTTCCACGTTCACTTCCGACGATCAGTTACTTTTTGACACTGTCTCAGCCCTTCTTTGAGAATGGGCGGGAAAAATGTGTCAGAATTAATCTAAAGAAATTCGTTCACAACAAAAGGGCTATTTAATTTTAAGATAAGTATTATATGGTTCACTCATTTACCTCTTATATATAAAATTAGCATTATTTTTAAATGATTATCTCTTAGAACAATTCAAAATAATATATTAAATTATTGATAGTTCATGAATAATAATTAACAATTAGACTACGCAGTCGAGTTTTCTATAAGTCAATAGATAGTCGATAATAATAATAATAATATTAATAATAATAATAATAATAAATTCTTATATAGCGCACTAAACTTACATGATGAGGTGCGTTGCGCCGAATCAAAAATTTGACTCATACAAAACAAGAATGAGTAGTCTAATTGTTTTTGCTGGCGGCACTGTTTTCATTGCACGCAACATTGCAAGGAATAAATTTGGATCGGGGTGACACACATCACGTAACATTGCTTGTGTCAGTCTGCTATGTTAAGATATTTGGTCAGCAGTTATAAATTTGGTGAAAGCTGATTGGCTGGAAATTTCAAAATGTTGCAGCCATGTTCAATGATGAAATTATTGCAAGCCATGTTGCAAGAGTAGAGTGCGATTCAACTTCAGATTCGTTGCATGCATTGGTGCATGCAATTAGTTAGGAGTAGACACGCTGCAACAGTCCTGTTGTGTGCAATGTTGCATGCAATGTTGCACCGTGTGTCAGCACCTTTAACTTGTAAGCTTAAACTTACTCTCTTTCCAAAATTTTCGCCTTTTTATCTGTTCTTTGAAACTTTTTGAACTGTAAGAGTGATGAATTGAACAGATTTATTCACAAATACTTCGTTGTCAGCTTTGTTGTCCAGATCTTGTTTAAACAATGTGATCATATAGGGTCAGTTATTAATATCATGCTACTGTAAATACAAAGTCAAAGAGAGGACCGGAAAGGATGAAATCCAAATAAAGGCTGATCATTGATAATGTTATAAGTAAATAAATTAAAATGATACTTGATGATGTTAGTGGTGATGGTACATGTAGGTTTGTTAATACAAACTAGTAAGAGCATATATATGTATTCCCTACAAGGACAGGTGCAGAAAAGAGGGGTGGGGGGGCTGAGATACAAGAGACTAGTACACAAAAAAGAAAAGTGGGGGATTGGAAAATTTAATGTATAAATTAAAGTTTAAGCCTACTTGTATAATCACAAATCATGCACTTTGATTGGCTGAACTACTGGTGGTACTAATAGACCAATATTAAAACCAAAACAATAGCTGTTAACTCTCGCTTTCAAGCTATAAAAATMATWTTTTTGTATCCATTTATTTGACCAATTTKTAKGTTTAGACTRAAACAACCAGACCTCTTGCCCTCATGGTCTGCAAGTCAATAGACCATTCATGCATCAAGTTTTGTTAACCGTATTGTATATTTATTAAGTATATAGTATATTTATTTAGCAAGCATATTAGCTCTTTTCCCTTCACAGTCCCTGCGCCAAGCAAATTTTGTTTCCGAATCAAAGTTTACTTTATTTGTGACTAGAAGATGGAAATCTTAGGATTATCATTGAAATGGGTTAAGAAATATATACCCTTTAGTAATCCCTTTCACAGTTCCCTGTGCCATCTTGAAAGGTAGCCAGCCGTACCTTTGTATCAAAGGGAGACAAATGGTGAGCTTGCAACTGACCTTTTTTTAACACCTTGGACAATTATTCACATGTCTATATCATTGC